GCCTTTATCCATCATATCTTTACCCCACATGAAAATTTATGGCTAATTATATTAAAATATAACGTCGCAGTCTCTTCAGTTTGTTAGAAAACTGAAATACCCCGTTCAGTCAATGGGCGTGTATCGCAATAATAATAATACACGACTCATAAACGGGTTATTTGCAGTTTTAGAATGTTGCCCAGGTCGGCGTGTTTTAATCTTGTGCGGGTGTCTTGGCGCATTCATTTCATTTCCAGGTTCAATTGAAGCTTTGTCCTTGATGCTGGTGCTATGGAAAATGATTGATTGGCGTTTCACAAAGGCACACACACACACACACACATACATAGGTTATCTATTGCCAAAAGGCGGATATTGGCCAACTGGGCTGGCAAGTCGGAACGAGCTCAAGAAATGTGTTGGCATTTGGCAATTATGAAAATTTACTCTTTAAACTGGTTCATATTCGCATTTACTTTATTTTGCCAATTTATGATGTGTGTATGTGTGTATATTGAGTGATATTTGCATAAGCCGTGCACAGAGTCAATTTGCGGAGCAAGTTAACAATTTTGTTGGTCAATAGGCGAACAAGTCTTGGTAGCTGTTTTTACATTTATTTATTTGGTATCATTGGGTGGGCAGTCAAGTGGGTAAATGCTTTTAGGGTAACAGGGGATTTAGATTTAGTGTTGTATAACAACTTAATCTAGATGCACTTTGGGCAATATATGGTGAATGAATTTTATGGTCCGAGACTGCAGTGAGTTGGAAAGAGGGAGAGAGGAGGAGAGTGCCTAAACTGTTTTAGAGAGAGACATCGATACATTTATGGGTTGGAAAGAAGTGAGAGGAACATGCTTTGACTGTTATAGACTCGGTTTATAGAAATATAAACAATATAAATATTTTAAAAATATAATAGAGTAGACAGACAAAGACTTATTTGAGTGTGAAAATGTTCCAGAGCTCTTTTCATATTTCATTTCTTACGCAGTTTGAGGTAACCTGAGACTTTGTCTTTGTTTGTGGTTGATTATAGATGAGATGATGACTTTGATATGATGGCCAAAATGTTAAAGGTGCTCAAAAGTTCAATGTTGATTGATCTCTACGCTCTTCTATCGTCACTCCTCATAGTTATCTTCTCCTTCTTCTCTCTTCGCTCTACAGTTTTCAGCTCTCTGTCTTCACACTTCATTCCGCACTCTACATTCTTCATGCTTCACTTTTTACTCCTGCCTCCTCTTCCCCAGTCTTCACTGTTCACCCATCGCTCTTCTTTCTTCACTTTTCACTCCTCACTCTTCACTCAGTCATTCATTCTTCCCTCCCCGCTCTTCCCTCACTGACTCACCCTTCACTGCACTTCGCTCCGCCCATGGATATTTCATAAATAAGTATATGTAACACACTTGCTTCCAAAAACCAATCAATCCTGCTTAGCTAGCAATTTGTTATAGTAATATTATTACTATCATCTCACACACACACACACACTCACACACCTGTGCAACATTTTAACGGTTAAATCAGGTAGTGTTTGAGCACATGAGTAGAATTGGCAACTGCCTGCTGCTTGGCTAGTAGCAACCGCTAACTAAAGCTCAACTGGTGTGAAATGTAACAGTGAATGCTTTGCCAACAGCGGGGCGAGGGTGCAGTCGCTCGGTCTTACCTACTTTAGCTCTCGACAGGCCAGTGTTTGTCCAACTCTAACAATGGCCAAAAAGCAAAGGAAAAACAAAAACAGCGGGCAGTCTAAACAGCTGTTTTTTTTGCCATGCAACAGTTTTAGTTGTTGTTGTTGTTGTTGTTGGGTTTGTTATTGTTTCGCATTTGTTTTGTGGCTGCTCGCGCTTGGCGTTTACTTTGTGTAACAAGTTTGCATATGTGATTAACAAACAGCTCAGCATGCATTAGTAAACATAATTATAACACACTTAGCAAAAAGATAGTGAAAGAGGGAGAGGTAGAGAGAGAGGGAGGAGAAATGGCGCAAGCAGTTGAAGCTGCTTGAAATTCTACTGCAATGAAACGAAAGACTTAAGCGACAAACTCGCGTGGGCTAAACTCGACTCGAGTCGACTCGCAGACAAATCTTGTGTCATCAGAGCTCAGTTTACATCAGCAGCTGCCATCATAGAATCCTCAACCGACATCCGACACCCAAACAACATTTTCAGCTGACTCATTTTTCTGCACGATTCTTTCGTTCGTTCCACGGCTGCGCTTGACATTGACCTTCGATGGCGCATGATTATTTTCTAATTAGCCGCCGCCGCCTGCGGGCCAACAGTTTCTTGTTGTTGTTGTTCGTCCACTTCTTGGACAGATCTGTGAGCTGTATTTGCTTTTGGCATTATAACGATCACTGGGAAAGGTTTATGGTTCACTTTATATTTTTGATTTTGTTTTTTTCATTTTTTTCGCCACTGTCTTTGTTTTTTTTTGCTTCTTTTTAATGGGCTTTTATTGCCTTTGTGGCTTCTGTCACCTCGTTGGAGTCCATTAAATGCGAGTAAATTAACCGAAATTATCTATTTATATTGCCGAAAAAGCAAAGCAAATTATAATCTACTACGGGGCGGTGCCATATGATGTCACAGGCCGACTGCGAGTTTTGCTTGGCCAAGCAGCGTGAACTACTTAAAAACTACTTAAAACTAAAGCATTACAATCTTAGATGGGCCTAGAGAACATAACTGAGATTACATAGAACGCGTTTTTATGATCTATTCTAGTTTTAGGCTGCTGTGCAAGAGATCTATTTAATGAGTTTAGATAACTTGGGAATTACTCAAAACAATTTTATTTTTGGCAGACACTAAAGTGTATTAAGTAAATGAATGAATGAATGAATGAGTGAGTGAGTGAGTGAATGAATGAGCAAGTTAATGAATATGAGCATATATACTAAGCAGCTGAGCTGAGCCAAGATAGAATATTTTAATTGTCTTCTCGTTCTCTATGGGCACAATGAACGCCCTAGGGTCTTGATGCTCGTTCTACAGATGGAAGCAAAGCATATTGGTTTTCTGTGATTGACTCTCCGCCTAATTTTCTTTCTCTCTCTCTTTATCTCCAATTCTCTCTCGCTCTCTCTCAAACTCAATTGCAAGATTTAACACGAACTGCAGATCTAACCTAATTAGAATTATGTAATATCACTCTCTTTCTCTATTTATCTCGTTCATTCTCTCTGGCTCCTTCTCTCTCTCTCTCTCTCTCTGTCTTTCACCTTCCCTCTTGTAGTATAAATGATTTTCATTCGCTTTACATATCACAGCTAACAATGCAATGACTCTAAAACTGTTGCACTAAATCGCTTCGCTGACCTTCAATCAAGAAGAAGAAGATGATCATGATGATGAAGAAGCAGTCGGTGCTGCATTAGTTATAAGCGCACAGCCAATGGCCAAACAGAGAAACTTGATTGAAGCAAATGAAAACGTAAAGTTCAACTTGTTTAGTCGCGGTTGCTGCGTCTGCTTCTTCTTTAGTTGCTGCAGCTATTGTAATTGTTGTTGTTGTTGTTGCAGTTGTTTTAGTTGCTGTTGCACTTCTGAATGACTTTTTTGCCATAGCGTCTTGACATTTCGCACAAACATAAAAAGAAGAAGCAGCAGCAGCACCACCATCACAAAGAGTCGCTTGCGTTGCTTTTGTTTTGCAACTTGTTGCAGCATCATCAACAACAACAACAACAACAATAAAATTAGCCCGAAGATGGGCAAATTGTAAATGCCCAAATACAAATAATTCACAGAATTCACAAAAATTACAGAATCTTCACTGCATTATCTATCGCTGGCACAATTAATGCAAAGCAAGTAGATACATATATCTAGCTAATTTGAGATAACAACAGCAGCAGCAGCAGCAGCAAGTTTGAAATTCTTTTTGAGCAGCGAATGCTTCATTGTAAATGTCAAACTGTTGGCGCAAGTTAGTAGTCGGCACAGTGGTTCGAATGCATATAGAAAATGCTATTCTGTTTGGCATTTTAGTGGCATTTTAGCCGTGGCTAGATCTTATCTTATAGTGCCAAATTGAGCATACTGACAAGGCTTACATACCATGTTCTAGGCTTTTTAGTAAAATATGAATCTGTAACCACAGTTGCTGTATCAAGATTGCTTTAAAGAATATCCCCAGATCCCAAGATTATCAGCCCGAAATTGTTTTCTAAAGTCTGATTGAGTATCTAACAATAAAAATTAAACTTTTAACATCATTTTTATTTATTAAAACATTTATTTAAAAAAATTAATTTTAGTATTTAATATCAATATTAATTACAGAGAATTATTAATACTTAAAATGAATCCCCATTTAATATTATTTAATAAGATTATAAAATACAAATAGAAATACAAATTTTATTAATAAATATTATTAAAACAATATCCCAGTGGATTCTCTCTGCTCCTGCCAATTCATACCAATCAATACCAAACTTTTAATACTAACTGATGATACAAATATCTACCGTATTTAGTTAATATTTTAATCAAGTTTATATATTTATCTGTTTGCATTGCCATTTGTCTTCAGACTTAATCTAAATTTGCATAGTTCATTTTTGGTTCAGCTCTAGCCTGTTCTCTAAATGGCAGCTGCATTATGTATTGTCATTAACATTTCTCAAACTGAGGTAGGCGCAAGCCGTTCGCATACAATTGACGACTACTGTGCAACAAAAGGCGTTGCTGCCATTGTCGCTGAGCAGTGCGGCGACGCATGCAACGTGCAACAGCAAATAACGAAAATGGTTCGAGTTTGGCTCATTGTTTGGGCTCTGGCTGTGGCTTTAAGCCAAATGCCAAATGCGGCAGACAGTTTGAAAGGCACTTGACAAAAGACAAAAAGCCAAAAGGCGGCAAAGTTGAAACAAATTGAAAGGCATTTTGTTCGTTGCTTTTTGCTTTGGGCTGTTAGCTGTTTGCTATTGAGGCAGGCTCTGTGGAAAGTATCAATGGAAGTTATTTTAAGGCCTTTTCCTGTCAGCTCTAGCTCAAAGCCTGTTCGAAACTCTTGGCTGTAGCACAGCATTTAGTTCGTAAGAATCAAATTTTTCGTTTTATGGTTATTTCTCGTATGCCCTGGGAGATGCCGGTGCAACTGCTTTTTGATGACTTCAGCCGATGGCAGTACAGACAGAATTCCGATCTAATGCCTGTGAACAAATTGGAGCAGAAGATCTATTTGCCATTCGACATGTTCTACAAGGACTTTGTCACCTGGCTGGCCAACGAGAAGCTCGGCTTTCTGGCCCATCAATTCTGGGAGAAACTGTCGCCGGCCCAAATGCACAGCTATGACATGAAGGCGAAGGCAATGCATGAAGCTGCGAAAGCAACGAAAACAAAACCAGCCCAATTCGTTAAGAAGCCCGCCGTCAAGGCGCCCACAAAGAAGCGCGGCCTGCAAGGCAAGAGTTCAAAGCGCTCCAACCAACCCGAGCCTAAAAAGGTTCTAAAGAAGAGTATTACAACGACGAAACTAAAGAAAACTCGTTGAGGAAAGTGTTTAAAATTTGATGACAATGTCAATTTAAATATTTTAATCAATTACCTCACACACACGTACACAAATTACAGTTTGCTATCTATCCCTCTGCCTACGATTGACTTTAACTGGAGCGCTCAAAGTTTATATACGTAAAAAGTGCAAAAATGGGAAATCTGGCAGGAAAACAGTGAACGCAGCCACAGCTACAAAATTTGATGTAATTCTTGTGTATTGTGGAAATTCGGAGCTCAAAATAACAAATCGCCACAGACAACCAGATTAAATCAAATTCATTAGTGCAATCAAAATATGAGGAGCAAACAAAAAGTGTATAGAAATAATATCTAAAATCGCATTGAGCTGAGATATTGACAGACATTGCTGAATATTTGTTATATATATTTAAACCATTTTAAAAATCAATTATTGAGAATTCATAATATATTTAAATTATAATTCTATAACTTATGAGTTCTGTTTTTGTAGTCTCTGCAAAGAATTCTTGACAAGTATAAGAAAATGTATTTGCATATCTCTCCTGAAGCAATAAAAGCTATTTATATTGATCTATTTACGATAAAAGCAATTCTAACGGCCTCTGCTCGAATCGCTCATATGGAATACTAAAGAGAACTTCGCGCTCATTACAATAAATTCCAATGGAATCGATAAATGCGTCTACATGAATGCGAAGGTTCTTAAACATATATTTGTTAAGAAATAGGTGAATACCGATATTCACGTTTAATTCAATTTTAGGTCAACTGTGCTAGGCATACAAATAACTAATAATCAAATTATTCTGAGCAATAGAGCTTGTTACAGCTCTTATTTGTAAAATATGCGATTTGCAAATAATACAATAAATCATCTCTAAATTCAATATAAAGAAATATAAAATTAGTATGCATTTTAAATATTTAAAAATATATCATATTTATTCACGAAATAATAAAATATGTATTCACTCACGTGCGATCTGCAATGCTCACTTATGAAATGGAGCCTAATGCAGAGTCAACGGCATATGAGAATGAACGATTTGATCTACCTTCAGCGGATTAGAGTTACAGGCCAAATAAATACACAGCAACTCTTGCCCAATCGCAGAAGGTTAATATAAATATTATTTATAATGTACAGAATTAAATGCTGCCCAAACAATACAGATTAAATAAATGTTATTCGCGGGATTCGAACCTTGCTCTTTTGGATGACTGGCAACGACTCAACGCACGGCGCCACAACAGAAATCACAATGGGCTTGCCAAATATTCAGCTAGTTCTAGTTCTTTTCAATACTTGATCACAAGCAGTTAACAAGTTGTTGCAAAGCAGTTCATTAATAAAGCAGTACTCGCTGCCAACACGCGCGCTTATAATGCATTCAAGCACTCGGTTTCATCAATTAATTAAAATTTCAGCCTCTGGTGCTTCGACAGCGTTAAACACTTACAATTTGCACACATAACTCTGCTCGCTCCACTCATGGATGTGTTGAAAATAAGGTGTGAAACTCAAGTAATATGATATTGGGGCACTACAACTACTACTACTACTATTACTACTACCAAGCCCCTGGCACAACGTAGGCGTTGCCCCACTCAGTTTTTTTTTTTATTTTGGGCGCCTCATGCAGTTGCGAGGCTGCTGCATAAATTCGCCTGATCAAAATTTTCAACACTGCATTTTCGTTCGAAATGTTGCGCATGTATGATATTTCAATTTTCAATTTGTGACCACGTTTTTGCGTGGTTGAAAAATACCTTTTGTTTTTGTTATTTTGGCTTTTTGTTTTGGTGTAATGGCACTTTTTGTGCCCAGACATTGTGGGTCAAAGAGCCAAGAGTGACGCATACGAGGCTGCAGCTGGAAGCTATTTGCAGTCAACTTTGGGTGTCTGCTGCTCGTGGCCAGTGCCCACGCTCTGTCATACCTATGTTCAATTGTCTGCATGTATGTTTATATGTAGTTGTTACACTGTGTCACGAGTATTTACAAAGTTTGTATATGTTGACAGCTAGCAAAATGCCTTATATGCTGAAAAGTTGGTTAAAAAGAAGGTTATGTTTATAAATATATAAATATATACCAAATAGTAATTATAATTTAAAATAACATAAAGAAGACCGTAGGTTAATAATTAATCACTCTCTACTACATATTAATTAAATTAATTTAAAATAATACTTGTCTTCTACCAACAGTGTAAAATTACTTGAGACTGCATTGATATCAAAGCAGTTCAGGGAAATATGGAGTAAGCAGTTCAATCACATTCGCAAAGCAGTTCAACTCTGCCAAAATTTTATAATTATATGTAGTAAATTTATTGTTCATATTTATATGTTTACATTTATATACCCCATGACAGCTCTTGGCCCCAAAGCAGGGCTATTTCTTATTTATTTATTTATTTATTACAATCTATTGACAATTAGGTACAGTGATATTGAATTTGTTCACGTTTCATGGCTAACTGTTGCCTGCGGCGCTGCGCGAGGTGTCAACAAAGCAATGAAGCTAACWACAAAATCTGTCGTTTTGTTGTTGTTGTTGTTGTTTGGTGTTGAAACTGTAGCTATTGATTAATTATTGTTGGCTTCGTGCAACCTATTAACATTTGACCTTGTTTGCATTTCAGATACCTCCAGCTATTACTTTCCATCACAAAATCGTTTTGTGCCATCCTCTGGCTCTTTCCCGCGCCAGCTGCAGCAGCAGCCGCAGCAGACACTTAATGGCTTTCGCGGTAGCACAGGTGGCTTCTCGCCCGCACCGGGCTCATACCAGGAGCAGCTCCTGTTCATAGCCAATGAGAACGGCAATAGCAACAAGCAACCAGCGATTACGACGAGCTCGCCGTATGGAGCACCATTTGGCGCTAGTCCACAATTTGCCGTAAGTTTACTCTCGATCGGCTCGAATTGTAAATTCAGCTCTAAATTTAAATATTTATCGTTAGTTTTCGTATTTTTTACATTTTGCTTCAATCAAAGTTTTGGCTAGTTGCATTTTTTTATTGAGTAGAGGAGAGTTAACAAGTAACAGGTAACAGATAACTGGCAACAGGTAACAGCTAACAGGCAGCAGGCGATGTACGTACGGACTGTGCTGCAGGCAATTAAGTAACTTGTTGTCTGTTTCTGGGCCTGAGCTGAAGACGGAGTCGGAGACGGAGCTGGAGTCGGAGTCCAGCTCCAAGTCTGAGTCCGAATCCATGTCTGGCTTTTTGGCACGCAAAGCACTGCCAATCAACGCCAAAAACGAAATCAAATCAAATTCATAAATTACCACATGCCACATGCCACATATGAAATTTGATTAAGCCAACTGCAAAATGCAAACAGCAAGGTGCAGCTAGCCGCTAGAGATGAGAGCGTGACACGCGTGTATAAAGCAATAGTTGAAGCTAAACTATATCGTATAAGTATAAACCTAATTTAAACAAATAATATTACAAATATGTATTTCCTGGCAAATATTTCTACATAAACATTTTTCAATTGCAAGAGGAAAAGAGTTTTCTGGGAAAATTGTTGAAATACCAGTTGAGGAAATTAAATTAGCTTCGCCCAGTATTGCAGCTCTTCCAGGCTCACGCAACATAAATCGAATTACAGACTGAACAATGCAAGAAGCGGCGGGCGTACGACTGACTGACTGACTGAACGGTCAGAGAGATGTGGAAGCATTTCCAAATCCATTTTCCCACTTACTTTCACTTTGCTCGGCCCAAGCGGCGCAAAATGCGCAGACAAAAGCCGATGTCTTCTGCATATCAACGAATCAACAATAAATAATATTTGTTGAATTACTCGAAATGACTCGAATGTGCTTGCTTGACTCTTGGCGGTGCCTTAGAGGAACGTGTTCCTAATTGAAAAACTGTATAATCATATTGTCTACTGCCAGTTGGCAGTCATGAGCACGCACTTTGCTGTCGACTGCCCGGTTTGGCCCTAGTTGAATCACGGTATGTCAGTGGGCTCCCAAGTGCGGAGCGTGGCTGACAGTGTGAATAGCTGGAGATGAACATGTTAAGAGTATGGAGCAGGAGTTGGAATGCACAGAAACAGAAGCTGTGATACGGAGAGAGACGGAATCTGGAACTGGGACAGAGACTGTAACAGAAGCAGGAATAGCAAGGAAGAGAGACGGAAACAGAAAAGTGGACTGAAGCTTAAGCAAAGACAAAGAGAGGGAATAAGACAGAGACAGAGAGTAGGAGTAGGGATAGAAAATGGAATAGAGAATGGAACTAGAATTTGGAGAGCGGCTCAAACAGATGCAGCGAAACAAACAAAGACAAAGACTGGAACTGAGACAAAGACAGCAGGAGAAACAGAAATAAGGACAGGAACAGAAACAGCCACTGTAACATGACAAAAGACAAAGAGAGCGAGAGGAAAAGATATTGAGATACGAATAGGGCTAGAGACACAAATAGGAACAGGGACAGGGAAATGGATCGGGACTTGGGCAACAGATCAAAAGGAATCAGAGAAATCACAGAAGACAGGCATAACACTGTAGCAGGAACGATCGGGATAGAGATAGAGAGAGGGCTGAGTCAAGGCAGCTGGAGCTTCGACAAAAATAGTTGTGGGCATTGAAGCATCTCAACCAGAAAACGCACATTAAGTGCTCTTTCTTATCTTCCTCTAATATCATCAGCCAGTGGCAGTGGACACCTGGACACTGATTCGCCTAATGGAAGTGACTTCTTAGTGTCTTCGCATCGTGCCACCTGTAAACTCAATTAAGTGCAAAGGCTTCTTGGCCATTCAGATGATGCCTCGTTGCTTCTGAACAATTTGACAGGCGCTCGGCTGTTTATAAATTGAAGAAGCCTTCTTTCCGCAGCATACCAAACCATAAATCAAGCTGGGAATGATTCAAAATTATTCATATGAGTTCAGTTGACTATAATTCTTTCTCTTTCTCTTTGCCTATTTTTATTATAGTAAAATTTTTTTTTTTTTTTTAAATTTATGCAACTATTTCTGTGATTTCTCAATGAATAACGTATCATTTAAATACATATTTTCATATAAAGAATAAAAATTTAAATATTTTCTAGTAATACTAAAATTGATCATAATATCTAATCTTATTATATTTAACATTTTTTAAAATGTATGCAAATATTTCTGTTTCTCAATGAATAACAAATAATTAAAATATTTCTTCCATACAAAAATAATAATTAAAATATTTTCTAGTAATACTAGAATTGATCATAATATCTAATATTATTATATTTAAAATTTTTGCTAATATTTCTGTTATTTTTCAATGAATAACAAATAATTAAAATATTTCTTCCATTTAAGAAATAATAATTAAAATATTTTCTATTAATACTCAAATTGATCGTAATGCA